AGCCCTGGGATGGTATCAGAGCCACACAAGCTCTGGGCACAGCTGTTTAGTGTCCAGATGGGGCTCAAAATGAGTTGTCCAGGTAGAAGGACCTACCTTTGGTCAGACTGTGCCCACACACAAAGGCTTTCCCCATCCCCAGCCAGTGTGGTGCAGAAGACAGTGCCCATGGCCTGTGAGGATGGTGGGATGGTCCCGTGGGCAGACCCAGCCTGTTGGAGACACAGCTGTGCTCTCATACATCATCATTAGAGCTGCAAAGTCAAGCAGCAAAAGGAGGAATTGCCAGAATAAAGGCTGTCAGAGCAATTTTAATTCAACCTCCTGGCAGATATGCCTCCTGATGGGGTCTTTAATTACCTCATCACAGCCTACTTTTTCTTCAACAAGGCTGCTGCTTTATTCAGGGCACGACGGACAGACGGCAATTAATGAAGGGCCAGTCAATATTTTGTTCTGTCCTTTTTTCATTCAGTGTGTGGCCCCAGGCATTATTTGCCACATGCCATCAAATCCTTGCTCTTAGAATTATTCATCTTCTCCTGGGCTTTTCCTTCATATGTATCAGTGCAGCAACTGTGAGATTCCCACAAAGGAAGAAATTTCTTTTCCAACACTTCTGTGAGCAGAGCACCTGGGTTTTACCAACAGAAAAATCTGGGGCAGGAATGAGCTGCAGAATGCTCCACCAGCAAGGCCCAGGTGGCATTTTTCAGGATACCCACGCTGTCTCTGTTCAAAGCCCATCTTCCCTAACCATTGCCAGAGCTGTTTAAACACTCAGGACATCTAGAATTTGAAATTCAGTGTGTCCAGAATATGACTAACATGGACCTGGTGGCTCTCAGAGAAAAAATGTCAGTGGTCTAAAGAGGGAAGATCTCTGCTAATGCTGTGCTGGAGCAGGGCTTTGTTGCAGCCAGGGATCCAGAGTGAAAGAACAGAGAAATTCCGATAAGGGCAAAGGGATGAGCTTCAGGCAGGGCAAGCTGACTGGCATTTGTGAATTTTTAACCAAAAATTCTGGTTTTCTCCCTTAGTCATTCCCTGTAACAGCTGTACTCTGCTGTGTCTTAATGTCTTACAAATTTTTCACCTTTTACCATCCTCCTTTCAGAGGAGGACATTTCACACTTTCAGCCCAAGAAATCTTAACCTTTCCTCTGGCACAAGTAGAAAGAGGTGAGAACAGGACAGAGATTCAGTAAGAGGAAGAGCTCCCTGTGTCACTGGCAGCATCAAAGGGAGCCCCACTCGAATGGATTCCAGTGAGTGCACCGGGAGTGGAACTCTGGTCACTGAACAGCTTAGGAAAAGAACAAGAGGAGAGGAAGGGCATGAACCTTCACTGCTGTCCAACAGCCCCTTTCTGCACTGCTCTCTCCTGCTCTGTGCCCACTTAACCCCCCTCTTAGAGAGCTGCCTTAGTGTCCAGGACGGGCTCTCTGAGCCTCTCTCAAGCACAGCTAGGTGACAGTGCTCTCTTCTCCAGCAGCTTCTGCAGGCAGCACAGAGCTCTCTCTTGCCCTGCTAGAAATTCATGGGCCTGCTGGCCTGTCACTCAAAAGAGCATCCAGCATTTTCAGAAAGGCTTTTAATTCATTAGCTCACAGAGGAAAATATTCTAATCTTGCCCTCCTCAGCTGAGTCAATGATGCTTTCCTACCTTGCCTCAGACAATCACCTTCAGGAAAATAATTACTTAGCATGCTGATAACAGCAGACATTATCTTTGTGAACTGGGTGTTTGTTTGGGATTCACAGGGTCTCCCTGCTATGAGGACTGCAGGGAGAACTGGGGTTACTGCTTGAAACCTGACCTGCCTTTGCAGACTGTGGGAAACTCTGTGGTCACTGGGCTCCCTCCAAGGGGAGCTGGGGGGATGCTGGAGGATGCTCAGTCAGAGGGAAGGGGCTGAAGGGCTCTGGGAGGAGCTGGATGAGCTGTGCTGGGCTACATCACACACATACATGGAAGAGGTTTCCCAGAAAAGCTGTGGATTCCCCATCCCTGGAAATGTTCAAGGCCAGGTTGGATGGGGCTTGGAGCCACCTGGTCTAGTGGAAGTTCCACCATCTAGGGGATGGAACTGGATGATCTTTAAATTCCCTTCCAACCCAGAACAATCTGTGATTCTGTGATATGTTGATCTACAGGTGGCATTTGGGCTCCTGTATGCAAGGACAAGGGAATTTACCCACAGGTCCAGCCAACCAGTTGGATTCACTTACAGGCACATAATCACATTATACACAGAATACAGATACAGTTATTTCTCTTGACCCTTGAAATGAGCTGCATTTTCAGTAGCAGAGGGTGCCCCACCTCCAGCCTCAGTCTTGTTCTGTAACCAGAGCTGTTGCATCAGTTATTGCCTTACTCCAGATGGTCCTGATTCCATTCCCACTGAACTGCCTGCATTGCCTATGCTGTAGGATGGCTGTTCTCTGACAGCCTGACTGCATGGACAAAGCTCTTGTGAAGGTGCCTGAATTTGGGTGCCAGCCCTATTTCTGACCCTCAGGTCCACCTCTCCCTTTTTGTGCCTCAGTTTCCTTCTCCAAAACATGGGGATTCCAACATAAACATTTCCTTCCTTGCAGTCAGACATGCTCTGGAAGTGTTGCAGGTTGTTGCTATTTCCAGGCCTGTCATTCTAACACATTTTGGCTGCACTAATTCCCTCTAACAGGAATTGTTCTGCCTGTCCTAGTCTGGGACAAAGCAGGCAATTAGTTGTCTCTTACACGTTTATTAACTCTGCAGCTTTCTTTCAATGACTATGTGAAATCCAGTAATGTTTTAATATATTTTCATAAACTGTGGGCACAACATGTCCTGTTTCCACTAATAACCGTGCCATATAATTAGTCCTGATTACACAGATATTTAGTATCATTTTACATATTCCAGTCCTTTCCTAGTGCCACTGCCTAGCCAAGGCATATTTAAAGCCACAGCCATCTCCCTTCTGTTTCCCAGCAGTTTGCAAGAGTTCTTTTTGAAGAGGATTGCAGTTAACACAAATTGCAGATTCAAAGAACAATTTCATTTCACTGGTGTACATTTTAGGTGTGTATATATATATGGCTCTGATCAAATGTCAGGTGACAAAGCCCAGGATACAAATAGAAGGCATTTATCTACTTACAGGGAAAAGCCGGTATTTGAAATCCATCAGGAAATTAACAACATGAATCTTTAAAAATCTATTCCTTAAACATCTGTTGGCTTAGGGCTGAACATTGACCGTATTTAGGATTTTACTGTGAAGTAGCAGCCCCCAAACAAAAGATCCCTCGTGGCATTAGGCTCTGGTGGAGGAACAAGGAAAATTTACTCTGTGCAACCCGATTAGAGATGTGTATCTTTCCCTGCTGGCGTGGCTGTCTCTATAGAGATGGACATGGATATTTGATGAGATTAAAATGCTTCAGTTACCACTGTCAGTGGTTCTTTAATTTAAAATGAAGGAAGCAAACAAACATTCCTTTTGATGAGGTAACTGAATGATGCTATGGAAAAGCACTTTGCTGTCAGGTGGTAATTAGGTTCAGTAATAGTTGTGGGTTTTTAGCCTTGGAGGCTGTGGCCCCTGGGAGTCTGAGAGAAATGATACATTCAATTTCCAGAGGAGAGGAAGATGCTGCATGCTTTTCTCTGCTAACCCTGCAGGTCTCTGCAGATAAGAGCGTTCAGAACTGCAGTGCTGACAATCCTCCTTGAGCCAGCCTAAACTGTGGTGTCAAGATCACAAACAGAAAAGGGAGATGGGCTCAAAGCAGGCCTAACACAGGCAGCCTGGCTCTGACCACATGTATAAGGAACTGCCGGAATGGCTGCAATGAGACGATTTTTAAAGGCTGCAGAAGGAACTCCAGCAATTGCTCTCTGGTCTGGGCTGATACTTGTAACATCCATCTTACACATCACTAGAAAATCTTCAGTAGGAAAGTGTCTCTTTGTAAACAAGGAACATTCCCACAGCTACTCTTTTAAGGGAGGAAAAAAGTGGGTAGAAGGAATCTCTAGGCTCAGCTGCCTCCCTTGCCAATTTGAAATTGCCTTTTCCATTGCAAAATAGAAACAATATTTGGTTGTGCTGTTAAGAGTTGGAACCCAAATGAAACATTCCAATTGGTCCAAATGCATTCAATTGAAATTTTTCAGTTTGGAGGCATTATTGCAGTTTTCTCAGAACAGAGGCAAATACTGAATATGATGTTTCCCATGAAACAGGTGCTCTGGTTCCTGCTCTGCTGCCCTCTTCCAGCTCAAAGAGTGCTGGTTCTGCATGAACAGCTCAGTGGTATCTCCCCTGCTCCTCACACAAGCTAAGGAACACTGAAAGGGCACGGTTGGCCAACACCAGGGAAGGACCAGCAGTGCTGCAGGGAGCCAGGCATGGGCATTTCATGCCTTGTGCCTTGCTCACCAGTGCCTGACCTCGTGTCACACTTATTTTTGGACTAACACCCACTAAGCTGGTTGTGAAACTGGAGTAAGGGCTGAGAGAGAGAGGGGGTCCTGGGTAAAGTGTCCAGCTGGGCTGGCAGAAGGAACCTGCCAGCACTGCAGCAGCTCCAAGGGGAGCTGGAGGACTCTGCCTCAGCACAGGCTTGCCAGTAGCTTCCTGAAGCGCTGAAAAAGTTTTCACTTCCAGAACTAAAACTTTACAAAATAAAAGCGGGTCTGATTCGCTCTCAGGAGATAAATGAAGGGTAAGTCCATTAAAGATACTGGTGTGAGATTGGTGTACAGCAGACAGAATTCAGAAAAGATATTGATATCTCCAAAATCCTCTGAATATTTTTTCAGACATAAACCAGGTATCTTTCCTGATCATAAATGCTTTATTTCCAAATGGAATTTCAATAAAATAAGCACAGTTAGACTAGCACTTATTATAAAGCCGTAATGCAGCAGCACTGAAGTTTAGTTATGAAATGTATTAAAAAAGCAGCCTGGATAAAGCAAGAGAAATTGCTTTCTGACCTACCTAGTTTTAGGAGTAGGTGCTAGTGGTCCCTCCACCAAGGAGTTCAGCCTGTAGTAATCCAAGAATGTCCTGGCCACATTTCTTCCAAGCTTCATATCTGTGATTTTTAATTAAGGAGCATTTAGAAAAAAAAATAAAAAATAGTAATAAAAGCAGAGTCTAAAGGTAAGTTACTGCTATTTAATGCAAGAGCAAGTTTTACATCAACCATCCCACAGAGCTCAGGCTTCAGGCAAACATGACTTAGGCAGGCAAATAAGGTTGGGGTCATCTTGTTTGCTTCTTGTTTTCACAGACAGATGCTTCATAAAAACACAGACAGGAGGAAACAATCTCCCTTTCCCCCCACGCCTGGCTGCGGATCCCTGTGGTTCTCATGAAATAATACACTAGACAAAAGGGGCCCTCCAATCTCCACATTCAGGGAAAATAATTACCTTAAAATGCTTGGATACAGGCAGTATTTCTGTATCCAGGATACAAGGTCAGCTATACCATGGTGTGAACCTGCCATGGACCAGTGTACTGAAGGTTGGGATTAATGCTGTAGCCCTCACACCTTTAGCTCTGACCCCCAGAGTGTCATGGGAGAATTCACTGTTCTTTCCCTGTGTTGTATTCAGGACCTGAAATGGTGATTTTAGCACTGACCTGGAAGGACAGTGGGTTACCTTAACGAGTTCAGCAGTTACTCTGGTGTGTCTTCTCTCCTCACTAGCCACTATTTCTCCTTCAGCTAATCCCAGCATTAGGCAGGTGCTGCACATCAAAGCTGCTATGAAGACCTCAGGGGCACAGGAACCAGACCTTCCTGAAGACTCAGCTGCTTACAAAGAAGTTGAATAACCTGTGGATTGCATTAAAAACAATATCCCAGACAACATGTTCATGGGGTGAATCTGCTGCTCATGAGAAAAGCCATCATTAAGGCTGCCTGTTACAGAGCAGCATCTCCTTATCATCTACAGGGTGATGTCCAGCTGGGAGATATCCCGTGGACTCCATTATCCACAGCTGAAGGAGGCTGAAGGCTCCTTTATTTGCCTGTTTTGAGCTGATGCCTACCCAGGCTGCAATAACCACATAGCACTCCAGGGCACTGCCCCAAATGGTCATTTCAGCAGGGCTGCTTCTGCACAACCTGGGGACTCTGAAGAGACCTTTGCATGCAACACCCAGCAGTCCAGGGAGATAAACCATTGCTGGGTTGTTCTGTGTGCATGTATGCATGTTCTGCTTTATCAGTAGCTATCTGCTGATGTTTCCATTACAGGAAAATTCCAGAAGTGCAGCATCCCAGGGGCTTCCAGCAGTGCTGGTGAAGGCACTGGCCTCTAAATGAAGATTTTATTACCCGCCCACTTACATTAGACACATCAAAACAAGTGAGCATGAGACATCAGGTTCACGCATCACTGTGAGGTCTCTATCGTTTATTTATGTATTTTTAAGGAAGGTCGAACCGATGTGACAGCCTTCTGCAAAAATCCAGCCACCAGCTCTGCCAGAGCTGCAGTCAGGTCTCCTGGCTGACAGTGACTCCTGACACTGCTTCTCTCTCCAACGATCTTGTCCTGATTTTCCAGCTCCCACCTCTGTGCCTGGGGATGGTTCCATGGACCTGTCCCTGCTGAGGATGTATTGTGACACCCTTGTTTCAATCCTAATACCGTGTGTGCTGCGGGCACCTCTGTTCTCCCGGCCCGCAGCAGGGCAGAGCCTCAGCAGCTGGTGCTCCCAGCTGTTTTCTGCATGGACAGGGAGAGGCAGCTCTGTGGATCAGCACTGGCTGTCTCCTGGCTGTGGCACTGCCCAGCGAGCTCCCCTCACATCCTACCAGCACTGCTGTGTGACACCAGCCCTGCGTGCATGGAGGTTCGGAAAGTCGGAGACAGCCTAAAGTTTAGCGATTCGAGGGAGGGCAGTGTTGCTCTGAAAGTGTTTTGTGATTGTTTCTGGAATTTGGGGATGGCTGGGGGTAGTTTGGTTGCTGCAGATGTGGGCTCAAAGCAGTGGTGAAGGTTAAGAGTTCAGAGTAGTCTGAGGAAGCCAGGAAGGGGAGAGGGCTGTCAGACACTTAAGGGATTGAGAAGACTAACATGGCTTGATCTTGTAGTTTCTTTCATTTACTCGTCACTTTAAAGATATAAAGTGGTAATTGGACTCAGTAAAGTCTCTAGGACATTTTGTCGGTGGCAATCTCAGAAAGCTCCTCTGCCAGAAGTGGCCCTGCTGCCCTTTTCTTTGTCTCTCTGCATTGCTTTTGTTTGCACGGAGGGAACCTGCTGTCCTGGGGGAAGAAGCCCTTGGATGGCAGTGGGTGCAGCTGAGGAAGTGGCTCCATGAGCTCCTGCCTTGCAAACCTGCCTTAACCCCAACCTGCAGGAATCCAGTTCCACTGCTGAGCTCAGGTCTCAGGAACAGCTTTCTGAAGCTAAGGACAGCTAACCACTGGAATAACCTGCCTTAGCATGCCGGGAAATGTCCAGACCAGAGGTATTAAAGAACAGGTTAAACCCACAGCAGACATGAATGGTTTAGGTGTAACTGGTGCTGCATGAAGTTTGGGTAAGGGAACATAAAAGGGCCTCTCTGGCTGCTTCACCCCATCTTCCTACAGTTCTGAACATATTTTTCAATCCACAGAGACCTGTTTGTTAAGATTGCTAAGAAAGGTAAGGGCATTTTGCAGAGTATGACACACAGATAGATAGAGAGCATGAAGAAACTGGAAATGCAGTGCCACCAAAATACATCCACCAAAAAGTCACAAAATGGGAATAACTTGCAGTCAGCAATGATGAAAAGTGACTCAAACCAGCATGGGATAAAAAATGTGCATGTTCTAATATGAGTCTCTCCAGCCATCCTGCCCCCTCTTCTCTGCCTGTCACTTCAGCAAGGGATGAGTGGTTTCTGTCATGGAAATCAGGCACCTGATACATAAAAACAGGAGCAGCAGCATCAGTCTCTCCCTGTGACTGTCCAGCCTGGGCAAGAGCTGGCGTGGCTCCCTCAGCAAGCGCCAGCAGCACGTGTGTGCAGAACCAGTAGAGGAAAACAAATTAAAGCAATAACATTTGCATTTATCTCTCTGCATGGAAGGCTCAAACTCCACTTTGGCTTACAGTGTATCCTGGGCACGTAAATAACAGCTACTGCAACCCAAACCCACTTCTGCTGTGTGGTTTGGTCGGTTGGTTGGTTTTTAACCAGCTTCCTATCTGCAGTCTGCAATCAAATCCTGTGTGCCCACAGGAGCTCCCTTCCTAGCCTGAACTGCACTTGACAGAAGGCCATTTCCCAGCTAGTCACATCATGGGAGCTCAGCTCATACAAGACAGTCAAAATGTATTTGGGAGGGTGATGATGGAAACAGCTGGGTGTATCTTCACCTTCACTAGCATCTGCAGCTCCCTCTCATCTCTCTTCCTCCTCCATAGTCTCATTGCTCCATGCTCTGTATTTCTACCTGGAAGTGGAAACCAGTGTCCCTCCTGCAAACGCCCTTCTCACAGCATTCACTCTGTGAATGGCATCAGCAGATTTGGGGAGATTTCAGGACAGTCTGTTTATGCACAACTCTGCCAAATTTCACAGATGCTAGGAGGTTCAAGAATCGTGCTGGGCTCTCTGCAAAATCCCTCATGTTTATGATCCCGACCATGCCCCACAGCCCAAAGCTTCCCTCCCTGGTAAGAAAAGAGGACAGAGGAGTGGGGACTCTCACAAGCCATTACTAGTTTTCAGCTGACACAATTCATTGAGCCTATTGTGAGCAGTCTGCTTAAGCTCGAGCCTCTGGAAGTGCAGACAGAGCCTTGTTCTGTCTGTGCATGGAGGCAATAAAAATCTCAATTTGGAAACCAGTTAGCAGTACAAGTCATTAGGGGAGGTACTAAATGTTGCTGCTTTAATAGCTCACTGATCCTTTAATAATGTCACTGCTGCAGAGCATGGTGGCACCATTCGCTCGCTTTTGTTTTGCTTTTTGAAATTCAGGGTCATTCCACTTTCAAGTGAGTGGATTATCTCTCTTTTCTCCTTCTGCCAGACACTGCAAACTGCTTTAAATAATTAGAAAAAAGGATGGCTCCTTCAAATTCACAATCTCATTTTCATAAGGTCCAGTGTCATTGCTTTGGAACGGGAAGAGAAACCGTGATGGTGGTAAGGATTTGACAAGGGCAAAACAGTTAGCAGCCCCCACTCATCTTTGATAAGTCCTGTGGGGTCTCTGCCAAGCAGATTGGATCTCTGGTTTTATGTCTCATCTAGAGGACGGCACCTCCATCAATTTGAAAGACTGCACTGGGTTATTAGCTTATGGAATTCATCCAAGTTTAGTCCTAAGTAGGATTTGAAATGTGACCATTCAGTCCAGAGGCACCACTGACCAGACCCACGCAAGTCTTTTGTTTCAGACAAACAGCTTTAAGTTATCCTAAAGACAGACAGAGAGGAAGGAAAAAAAAAAAAAATGGAAAGGAAGAAAGAGGGTAAGGAAAATGAGAACAAAGAGAAAAATGAATCTTTTTAATAGCTCAAATTAAAAACCAGAAGAAGCTCTTTGTTTGACGCAACTGAATTTTACAGCAAATCTCAGTCCACCACAACGATCCTGTTATTTATGAAAAGAGGGTTATTTTGTTTGGGAGAGTCCCAGATGACTGTGGTCAGAGAGCATACTGTCAGCTTCATACAGTCTCAAGAGAAATATGGATGAGGTTTTCTCATCCGTTTATAACAGCTTCCATCAATGGATCAAACCCCTTCCTGACTCAAACAAGAGCTCTAATGGAAAATGGCATTACAGGGCTTTAAACCACCATGTTATATCATGCCAAGCCTGATCAGAGCTAGTCCTCTATTGCAGCAGAGCTGTTTCCACCAGTTACTTATTTTGTTTCAGAGGGGCTGTTCCAAGGCTTTTCACCAGCATTTAACATGCTGTAAGTCTGGGTGCTGATGATGCATCCTTCCCTGGGACTCACTCTAGGGAAAAAATGTGCCCCATGCCTAGCACAGCTGGCATTTCAAAAAATGTATTTCAAAATGTATTTCAAATTTTGTTTGAATGTATTTTCATGTATTTCA